TCCTGGTTTTCCCTACGCATGGTGGACAGTCTGATTCCCTGCCCTTCACTGAGGAAGCTTTTTCGTTAATAGCCACAATACCATGAGATGTGTTCTTCTCATTCCATTTCCCAGGTGCTGTATTTTGCATGTTCTTAAAAAATTGAATCCAAACATGAAGTGAGTACTTACTACTCCCCCATTTTCTAGATAAGGAAACTGAGGCTTAGAGAAGTTAATAGGATCAAAGTCACAGCTTGTTAAGAGGTGGGTTTGGGACACAAGGTGGTGTTTGCCATGTTCCAGAGCTGACACTCTTAACCTCTATGTCTGATTGCTTCATAAAGGTGGATTTGTTACTTAATTTGAAAAACATCTATGGATTTGCTCACATGCTAGGCCTAGTGCTGGGTCCTGGGAATGCAGAGATGAATGTGGGTGACCCTTTCTCTCCAGGAACTCATGCTGCATCGTGGGTACCAACTAGTCAACAGGCAGTGAGATCACAGTGTGGGGAATGCACAGGGTGCTCTGCCTGAAGAGTGGGGCTTGTGTCTTTCCACCGGGGCCCGGTGCCTTCCTAGGGTCATCAGGATGGCAGTTGAGTCTCAAAAGTCTGGAATTGGGAGTAATGATGACTCTAATAATGTTTCTGGAAGCATTAGCATCAGCAGCTGCATAAAACATTTATTTTTTAATGCTTATTATGCATTGTAAGTGAAAACAGAAAGCTCCACAATGATTTGTATTTTATAACTCTATTTTAATAAAACATATATATGTATATGTATGAAAAAGGTCTGGCCAGTTATACACCAAAATATTGTCAGCGGTTACTACTAAGTGATGAAATTCCAGGTGATTCTTTATATAGTTTTTCATTATGGATTGTATTTTTATTGTATAAATATATTTTATATTTGAAATATAATTTTATTGCAGAAATGTAAATTGGTACAACCTTTGGCATTATCTATAAAATTTGAAAATATGTAAACTCTTGCACTGGTGATACAGAGACAGAGGAGGACAGGGTCTGGAAGACCAACTCCTAAACAGACTGTTACCAAACTTGAGAGGGGCTATGGCAGAGGAAAGCCCGGGGCTGCAGAAGGATAGAGGAGAGGCCCAAACCTAGTCTGGGGTTCAGGGGGTCTTCCCAGAGGACTGGGATTGTGTCCCCAGGCTGCATCTATTGCCCTTAGGTGACACTCCCTGTCTCCCACAGAGTGATGACTAGGCAGTGTTGAGGGGCTGCCGTGAATACACTGAGCTGTAAGAGGAGCTAAGAGGTGACTTGTAGAGCATAAAACCACTTAACCTGTGGTGAGCCTACACACTGGGTTTTCATGGTTTCAAATTTTCCTTTGCAGTTGTGAAATAGCACAACATATCTAATGTGGAAAAAAGGAATTATAGGTTAGATTTATTTTGTCATCTTGGGAACTACTAAAAAGAATTTTCAGCAGGAATCTCGTTGAAAGCTTTCAAACTTTGGGTTCTCATTTGTTAGCTGAAAAATAAATATAGGCTTTGAAAATAACCTAAATACTCAGTACTAAGGGAATAGTAAAATAGAAATATCATAATTAAATAAGTGTGATATATCTATAAAATGAAATATGATATAATTATTAATATGATATTTATGAGGATTTTTTAATGGAATGAGAAATGCTTATGAAAGAATATGATATATAAAGACAATATTAACTCTATCATGTAAAAAAATCCTTAGATAAAATACTGCAAGAAATGTACTTAAATGTTGACAATAGTAATTGCTAGTTGGTTGGATTATGTGTGATTTATTTTTTATACTTTTTTTGTATTTCTAATTTTCCAACATAAAAATCTACATTTTTTAAGAAAAGCTTTCTTAAGATACAATTCACGCATCACACAGTTCAGCCATGTAAAGTGTATAAGCAAATGGGGTTTTTTTTTGCATATTCACTGAGTTGTACAACCATCACCACAATCCAATTTTAGAACACTTTCATCATTCCAAAAAGTTGCCCTGTTCCTATTAACGATCACTTCCTGTTTCTGCTCCCCCTCTCAGTTCTAGGCAACCACTAATTTACTTTCTATCTATATAGATTTGCCTATTCTGGATGTTCCATGTAAGTGGAATCATACCATATGTGCTCTTTTGTGTCTGACTTTTTTGATATAGCATAATGTTTTCAAGGTTCATCCATGTTGTAGCATGGACCAGCAATGCATTCCTTTTTATTGCCAAATACTATTTCATTGCCTGGGTATACCATACTTTGTTAATCTATTCATTGGTTGATGGATATTTGGTTTGTTTCCACTTTTTGTCTATTGTGAATAATGCTGCTGTGAACATTCTAGTACAAGATTTTGGTGGACATGTGTTTTTAACTCTTTTGGTATACACCTAGGAGTAGAATTCCTAGGTCATATGATAACTCCATTTAGCATTTTAAGGAATTGCAAACGTGTTTTCAAAGCTGCTGTACAATTTTAGATACCAGCAATGTATGAGGGTTCTACTTTTTCCATATCCTCGCCAACACTTGTTATTGATTTTTTGATTATAGCCATCCTAGTTTTGTGGTTTTGATTTGCATTTCTCTAATGACTAATGATGTTGAACATTTTTTCATGTGTATATTGGCCATTTGTATATCTTCCTTGAAGAAATGTCTATTCAGATCCTTTGCCCATTCTTTAACTAGGTTGTTTTTTGATTATTAAGCTGTGAGTTCTTTATATATTCTGGATACAAGTCTCTTATCGATATATGATTTGTAAATAATTTTTTTTTCATTCTCTGGGTTGTCTTCTTACTTTCTTCATGGTGTCATTTCAAGCAAAAAAGTTTTTAATTTTGATAAAGTCCAATTTTTCTATTTTTTCTTTTGTTGCTTGTGCTTTTGGTGTTTCATATAAGAAACCATTGCCTAACCAAGGTTACAAATATTTACTTTTATGTAAACTTCTAAGAATTTTGTGGTTTTAGCTTTTACATTTAGGTCAATCATCTATTTTGAGTTGAATTTTATCATGGCAAGAAGGGCTTTAATTTCATTCTTTTGTATGTGGATATCCAGTTATCCCGGCACCATTTGTTAAAAAAAAATATTCTTTCCCTATTGAATTGTCTTGATATCCGTGTCAAAAATCAATTGATCATAAATGTAAGGGTTTATTGCTAGACTCTCAATTCTATTCCTTTGATCTACATGTCTATCTATCCTTATGCCAGTACTACATTATCTTCATTACTGTAGTTTTGTAGTAAGTGTTGAAATCGGGAAGTGTAAGTCCTCTAACTTTGTTCTTTTTCAAGATGGTTTTGGCTAAATCAGGTACCTTACATTTCCATGCATTGCTTTTATACTTGGGGCAAGGGAAGTTCTTAGAAAAAAAGAAAGTGAGAAAGGAAGATAGACATTGCTGAAGGAACTATAAAATTCATTTTGTGTTTTTTAAGTGATACTTCTGCAGTATACCTTGTCTCTTGGACAGCAGAATTTCTCTCTCCTAAATTCTTTCTTGGTCATGGCAGATTTTTTTTTCACTGTTGATGAACACTGTGCAGTGCATTGACTCAGCCAAGGCCTCATCTCCTGCCTTGAGTCATTTGACTGCGTTGGGGTTATTTCCACATAGGAGGGTCCTACAGCACCCTAATTTTTGGTTTACTCCTAGCAAAGTATTATCACACTCTGTTGCTGTGGTCTCTACACTGTTTTGGTTGCACAGCTCATCAGCCTTTGAGTATGTATTTTAACATGTTCATTTTGAGTATACAAATATATTTATTTATAAATTATATAGAATCATGATTATCATATACATTAAAACCATACACAAAACAGAATTTTAGAGGATGAGATAAAAAATGATTAGAAATGGAAGTTTCCCCACACCTCAATGGCTATCTGGAGACTACCTGCTTGGATCTTTCCTATTTACCCTCTGTGTGTTCCTAGCACCTAGCCAGCCAAACCAGGGCCTGGTACATAGCAGAAGCTCATTGACTGTTGTGCAAAAGACAAATTTCAGATATCCTACTATTCCTATTAAAACACACTGCCTTCATTCCTAGGTTTTGCACCTAGCAAGTAAAGGTTCTGCATCTATCATCTGCTAGGGTCTTTTTATAGAGACTGTGGCCTTCTCAATCTCTCCTTGTCTTCTCTTTTACGATTGCACCTCATCTTATTTATTTAGAAAATAGAGATTGTATCATCCTTCATTTATACTCTTCGTTTCACACCGTGTGGTCGGGCTGATTTCTGGATGCTAAGACCATAAAGAACGGAAAGCAAGGTCTCTGATCAGGATGGTATCACGGAGCTCCCGGGTCAGGGCTTCAGGGAGCTGGTTTGTAAAGAATGAGTGGGGAGTTACCCAAATGGAGAAGAGAGGAAGGCCGTCCCAGCTGAACTGCAGGAGCAAAGGCATGGAGGCGACCAGCACATTCTGAGGTAGGGAAAAGTCTGCTGTAGCTGAACACAAGGGGCAAGGGCAGTTGCAACTGTGTTTTAAAAAGATCACTCCTGCAGCTCTGCGGAGTATTAGTCTCGAAGCTGAAGCAGGGGCAGGCTGTCGGTTCCCTGGAGAGTAGGGCACATTTGAGGTGCAACGCTGCACAGGTTTAATCAAGCAAGGGCTTGATAGAAGGCTTCATCTCATCCCTGCCCCAATTAGATCAAACCACACACGCACAAAGAGAAGCTCAGACACATCCTGACAGAAAATAGCCTCTAGGGTATCCAGAACCCCCAGCCTACTGCTACCGGCGTGTCCAGGCCGGCCTGAAAGCCCACATGCCCCTTCCTTCCTGGATCACGTCCCTGTAGGGGAAGGAGGGGCGGGGCCAGCCGGCGCCCTGGGGGTGGGTCCTGCGCCCGGCCCGGCCTGGCGGCCCCGAGGCACCGGTAGGCGGGGCCTTCCAGCCGGGCAGTGTCCATAACGGCGCCAGGCCCCGCCCCTCGGGGGGAAGGCGGGGCCGAGAGAGCGCGCGAGCAGGGCCGGAGCCGGCCTGGTAGCCCGCCGAGCCAGGAGCTGCGAGTGGAGCGCCTGGGCGGCGGCGGCAGTGGCTGTGCGATGGCTCCCGCCGCGGACCGGAAGGGCTACTGGGGCCCCACGACCTCCACGCTGGACTGGTGCGAGGAGAACTATGCTGTGACCTGGTACATCGCCGAGTTCTGTGAGTGCGGCCTGAGGCGGGAGGGAGGCAGAGAGAGCGCGGGTCTGAGGAGACGGCGTGTGAGGAAGGCAGAGGGCGAACCTGGCCGCGAGGGGAGGCACCAGGCCTGACCCCGGGAGCTGGAGTGGGGCGCCCTGGGCCGGGGCAAGCTGAGGGGAGCGCACCGGGGAATCCCGTGTGTCGAGTGAGGAGTGCCAGGGTCTGGGCAGGATGAAGGGGGACCTCAGGGTTGGGGGGCGGGGAGAATTGGAGAGCTCCCGCTGGACCTAAGGGAAAGCCTGAGGAGCAGGGTTGGGAATGGGGAATTCCTGCCTGAGGGGCGAAGTCGCGGCCGGCTGGGGCAGCCCGAGAAGAGGTTGGGAGAGTGGAGGGCTCTGCTCATTGGAATGAGGGACCAGGACACCTGCTCTGCTGTTGCTACCACTACCTTAGCGAGAAGGGCGCGGAAGAAGGGGACAGTTCCTAGCTTCATCCTTTCCCAAATCTGTGAAAATTCTAAGTGTTTCCCTTTTGTTCCCTCTGTTCGTATTCGACCTCCTCGTTCACTTCTAGGGAACAGTTTTTACCACTTTGAGACAGCCCCCCCCACAGGATATCTTCAAGTACCAGACATGATCTCCTCTCTGAGTACCGCTTGTTCATCTGTCATCTTGCCGAGAAGTAGAAGGCAGAGCACCCAGTCTGTACCTTCCTGCTCAGGCCAGGCTCCCAAGAGCACAAGGGACCAAGTCCCTGCTCCACTCTGTCCTATACCACTACCTAGAAGTTAGGGGTTATCTGAGGACGCTACTTCCACTGAATGCACCTTCTGAGGACTTAAGGAAAGAACCCTTCTCTAGCTGCTGCTCTGTCAGGCACTGCTGGCCAGGTGGGGGTTGTTCTGTGTGTTTGTCTGTCTGTATTCCTAGATTATTTTTCTTGCCAGGCTAGGAGTAATCTGCCGCTTCTTTTTCTGTTGTTTAGTTTGGTCAAGTTTTGAGAGCATAATACTCGATCCTTCTTTCAGGTACCTGCTCGTGGCAAAGTACAGAGAATATTCTTTGGCTATTACTGCTTTCTTTTAATTGGATCTACTCAGGATATGAAGCAAAATTCTTCTTAGCTAAGCTTTTCATTGTTGAGTCCTGCTCCCAGGCGTGTGTGTTTGGCTTTGTAGGAAAGAGGCAAACATTTCATGCCAGATGATCCTACTTTATTCTATTCCAGTAATTGGCTAAGATAAGTTTAAAAAAGAAAACAGAACACTTTTTGCAGTTTTCAGGACCTTAGTACCATTCCTTGAGACCATGATTTTGGCTGAGTGTCACTTTTCCTGAACTACTAGTTTAAATTAATAATTTTTACATAATGAGAAATATGGGTTAAGGGATCCTTTGTAGTGTAATTACTTGGCAGCACAAATATTGGCAAAGGAACTAATTTACCAGTTTATTGTTAGATCACTTTGGCAAGCTCATGCCTGGTCCAGAGGACCAGGACCACAAGGGAATGGGCTTAAGACCATGCTTCTGAACTGTAAATGTGTAACATGGAAAAGGAGAAACTCAAGAGTCTCCAAATATTGGATGAGCTATCATATAGAACACTTAACTTTTTTATTTTTTTAAAATCTGGAAGTAGGGCCTTTGGGCAGAAACTAAGTGGGGAGATTTGCTTCAACAAAAGGAAAACCTTTCTAAATAATGATATAGTCATGGAACAGTTTTGCTTGGGGGATAGAGGACTTTCTTTTTTTTTTTTTTTTTTCTCCAACAAAGCAAAAGCCAAGAAGGCTTTCTGTCACTGAAAGTGTTAAAGCAGACATTGCTCAACTAACTCATGTGAATATTTTAGGAGGAAATAATTATTTAGTAGAGAAAAGGGGCTGCCCTTGGTTGGCCTTTAGTTCCCTTGCAGCTTTATGCATCTACTTAGCTAATGATGACTCTTAGTTTAGAACCAAGGTTTGGGATTAGAATCAAAAGAGAAAACTGGCAGTTAAGTCACGTGGACCATGAAAGAGCAAGATACTAGTGTTCCGGCAGATAGCTATGAGAAATGGGAAATGGTTTCAGTTTTCAGTGTGCTCAGAAGAGGAAACTCTGAACAGACTGCAGGGAGAGTTTTGACGTAGGAATCTAAGGAGTTTCAAGAAGAGGATGAGTGAATATTGGCAGCCCTATGCACGTGTACCTTGGGAGATCGTGATCTGGAGGAAGTTGAGGTCAAGTCACCTTACCATAGCAAGTGGTCAGCATCTATGAAATCTTGGAGTAAGAGAATTTGATCTGTGAAAAATATGCTGATTAATAATAATATGTTTAAAATATGTGTTCAAAACAAATGCAGTTTTATCATTGTATTATTTACATTAATGACAATATTAATGATGGTAATATTAAGGATAATAATGGTAATAATAGCTATTATCTAAGTGCTCACTATGTGCCACATTTTGCTAAGCACTTCATATATCTGATCTTTCTCTCTCTCTCTCTCTCTCTCTCTCTCTCTCTCTCTTTTTTTTTTTTTTTTTTTGAGACAGAGTCTCACTGTTGCCCAGGCTAGAGTACCATGGTGTCCAGCCTCACAGCAACCTCAAACTCCTGGGCTT